GTGGTGCTCACCCTGCAGAATGCCAGGTCCTCTGCATCCACCATGACTGATTTAGCTTCCCACACAGAGCTCAAGTGGGAATGTGCTGCCACCCGGTGTCTGGCTGCAGGCTGTGCCACACTTGTGGGAGTTGTCCACCTAGAGCAGCTCCTCCATTGAGGGACAGAACTCCAGGAGGAGATGAGGGAGTTGAGGAGTAATCAGGGTGTCTGAGTGAGGGATGAGACATGAGCTCCAACACATACATACACACACAGCCTCCCTGAAGGGAGGTTGTAGAGAGGTAAGTGCTGTGTGTATTCTCCCACCTAACAGGCAATAGGATGAAAGGAAATGGCCTCAAGTTGCACCAGGGGAGGTTTAGGCTGGATTTTAGGAAAATTTTCTTCACAGGAAGGGTTGTCAAGCAGTGGAACAGGCTGAAGTGGGAAGAGGAAGTGGTAGAGTCACCAACCCTGGATGTGTTTAGAAGTTGTGTTGATGTGGTGCTGACAGACATGGTGTAGCAGTGGACTTGGTAGAGTCAGGTTAATGGTTGCACTTGATGATCTTAAAGGTCTTTGCCAACCCAAATTATTCAATGTTCTATGATTATATATATATATATAATATATTGAAATGTATTGAAATGTATTGAGGTTTTCTTTGTTTTTTCCCCTCAGATGTGGGTTGGCAGCAGTGGAAAATCCCAAGGCAAAAGCAAAGGGAAGATCTACGTGATCAATGCTGAGAAGAAGACTGTGGAGAAGGAGCTGGTTGGTCATGCTGACACTGTGAAGGCTCTGTGCTCAGCAGAGGACAGGTATGTCCTCAGTGGTTCTGGAAAGGAAGAAGGGAAGATTGCCATTTGGAAGGCTGAATAGTTAAACTCTTCAAAATGCATCTCCCTGTTCGAGAAACAAGACAAAGACCTCAGGCTGTGTTTGCTGCAGCATTTTGCATCTATTGCAACCACCTGCCAGTGTTACTGTTTTGTATTTATTGAGTTACTTTAGTCCCTACCTTGCTGTTGAAAATGAAGATGGAAGTGAATGTCTCCTCACACCTTGAACAGCTCCTGGATGTTTGGTAAAGAGACAGAAATGTGAATAGAGGGGTTGCTGGCTTGAAACTTGACCTGTGGTGTTGGGAAAGGTCAGGGTTAGGCCAGGCTGTGCAGTGCAGATGGCACTGAGAGAACAAAAGGCAGCTCAGGAATTCCCCTGGAGCTCTTTTTGGGCTGCCTGAAAGGTGGGATTTGATGCTGTCTTTACAGCCTAGGATAGCTGGAAATGGTCACTGAGAAGTGGGATTTATGGAGCTACTGTAAATGCTGAATATCTCTTCTGTACTAGCAGCTAGATTTAGCTGGGAGGACTGTCCATGACCCCTGTCTGTATATTTATGGTGCTGTATTATTTAAAATGTAGACACAGGCAGGTTCTCCCTGATAGCTCTGGAGGCTCCTCGCTGGGCAAATTCTTGGATATTCTTAATCCTAGAATCATAGAATGTCTTGGCTTGGAAGGGACCTAGAAGGTCATCTAGTCCAACCCCCCTACAATAAGCAGGGACATCTCACACTAGAACAGATTGCTCAGAGCCCCCTCAAGCCTTGAATGCCTCCAGGGATGTGACCCCCACCACCTCTCCAGGCAACATGTTCCAATGATCCACCACCCTCACAGTAAAGAACTTTTTCCAACCTAAATCCACCCTTCTCTGGCTTGAAACCATTACCCCTTGTCCTGTTGTTACATGCCCTGTGACCAGCTCTTCCCCAGCCTTCTTATAAGGGCCCTTTCAGGTATTGGAAGGTTTTACTTTTTTCACTTGTTTATAAACAATTCACAGCACTTGGCATTTGTAACACTTTGTGAAACTTGACTTTTTTTTAAATCTGAAGCACTTAATTTATTTAATTCCCATGGATATTATACTTGCTTTTAGAAGCAACTTTTCAGGCACTGGGCAAATAAACCTCCCTTCAGTCACTATCTCTGTAATCAGAGAAGCTGCTGTTATTTTGTCTAGAACCTGCTTCATTTGTAAGTACTGCAGAACACTCTGCAAACTAATCAACTACTCCTTAAATACTGAAGCATCAAGACATTCCAGTCTAGAGGATTCCCTTGAGCTGTGTTCCCTAATGTCTTCCTTGTGTATATTGTTCTTTCCACTGGTGACAATTCTTCACAAGTAAAACATAAACCTGTGCAGGTCAGTTTTGCCTGTAACTGCTGAGTGAAGTGGAATTCAATATTTAAAATATTATCATAGAAGGCAAAAATCTGCTGCTACTTTTGTCAATAAATAGAAACCAGTGTAGGCCTAACAGAAGTGCAAAGTACTGGAACTGTGCTCCATGTGATTTTTCTAACTCTTTCAATGTTGCTGATGAAAGGTTTTATCATATCATGATAACTGAAGTTTTACCTTTTTAGTTTTGATTTTTATTATTATTTTTTTTTTTTCAACTTAAGAATATTAAACACTATATTGATACTCTGGCCTCTCTTTGTACTTTGTTCTTTTTCCTATGTGACTCAGGACACAGGAATTATGATTTTTAGCATCCTGCCTCTGTGCTAGGGAGAAAATTTGCCTGTTTTTTGCTCTCTACGTATTCTGCTTTCTAAAACCAGCTTCTGCTGACACCGTGTCCTCCTTGGAGCCCCTCATCTGTAACTTCCAGGTTCCTTTATTTCCTCCCCGTGCAGCTGTCTGGTGGTGGTGAGTGAAATGAATTGTTTGCTGAATTAGAGGCTTTTCCTGCACAGACACACAAGCTCTGCTGAGGGAATCTGCTGCACATGTGAGCCCAGCTACCCCAACCTGCCACCTGCCTGGCTTTGCCTTCATGGATGTTCATTCCTTTCAACCTGTCTTTGCCTCCTCAACTGGTTTGTACCCATTGTGTGCAAATGTCAGTTGACAAAACTTGCAAGTGTCTGTTTTTATGCTTTTAAGTTCTTTTATTGATAAGAGACTCCAAAGTAATTTGCTGCATGGAACATAATTGATTGAGTAGATGTCTCCTGCTTACTTTAATGCCAAGTGTTGAACACCAGATAGAGGAGAAGAGTTTTAACCCCATCAGACCAAACCATGAGATACCAAGACCCTTCAAGAGAACTAACCCCTCCCCAACAGCAGGAGGACCAGCAATACCAGTTCAGCTGACTTGAGGAGCACGATGCTGTGTTGGTAGCACCAGAGGAAGCCCAGGTATGTGTTCCCTCACCATTCCAGCTCTGCAGCTGTGGAAACCAACCTGCAGCAGTGCTGTGGGCTTTTCCTTGGCTTTCAGTGGATTTTTTGTTACTTCCTGTGTGACCTGTGGTGGTGGGAAGGGTTCTTCAGACCCCTGGTGCTCCTCTGGCTGTTGTTTCACCCCAGGGTAAGAAGTTTGAGGCAGAGGCCATCTTCTGGTTGTGCTCCTGTGGTGGTGAACATGAAGCTGTGTTGGCCCATGGCAAGGACCCCTGCTAACTGTGACACTGCAAATACTAGCTTGGAGTTTGTAAACTTTATGTCTAGCCTTTCAGCTAAAAAGCAGATGGGCAGGGCTCAGAACAGGCTGACAAAGAGTGGGAAAGTGTGGTGCCCTGCCTGAAGTTGTCTCATTCTCAGAAAGGTGTTTAGAGCTTGTGTCATGGATAGAAATCAGAAGTTTTACCAGTTATTTATGAATGTATTGACTGGCCAGGCAGAGGCACCTGGAACCCTGGGGTCAGTTCAGAGCCCCTCACAACAAGGAGGTCATTGAGGGGCTGGAGCGTGTCCAGAGAAGGGCAATGGAGCTGGTGAAGGGTCTGGAGAACAAGTCATATGAAGAGCAGCTGATGGAACTGGGGGTGTTCAGCCTGGAGAAAAGGAGGCTGAGCTCTATTACACTAACAAGTGATAGAGCAAGAAGAAATGGCCTTACGTTGTGCCCGGGGACTTTTAGATTAAATATTAGGAAAATGGGTTGTTGGGCACCAGAACAGGCTGCCCAGGGAAGTGGTGGAGTCACCATCCCTGGAGAGATTTAGAAGATGTGTAGATGTGGTGCTGAGGGACGTGGTTTAGTGGTGGAGTTGGCAGTGCTGGGTTAATTGCTGGACTTGATGATCTTAAAGGTCTTTTCCAACCAAAACAATTCTATGATTCAGCCATCCACTCTTCTGCCTCCCTGAAGTGTTTACCCATTTCCTGGAAACCACTTGAAGGTCAAGGCTAATGGTTTTATAAATCTCTTTTTCCTGTTGATTTTTTTTCTCTCCTGGTCTCCTGAACTGTGAGAACCTCAAGCCAGTGGACAAACCCACCAGAGGTCACATCTTGTGTGACAGTGGCTGAGGAGACACAGCCAGGGCCAGGAGCAATGACAGCCAAGCCCCCCCAGCTATAAAACAACCCCCTGGGAAGAACTAGTGACCAGGCCACAGTCCTGCTGGGTGCTGTAACTCTGCTGGCTGGACCAGGGAGTGATGGTGTCTGCCCTGCAGAAGGACCTGGTCACTGGAACAGGCTCCCCAGGGAAGTGGTCATGGCACTGTCAGAGCTCAAGGAGTGTCTGGGCAATCCTGTTGGTCATATGGTTTAGTTCCGGGCAGTCCTGTGAGGAGCAGGGAGCTGCACTTCATCATCCTTATGGCTCCCTTCCGACTTGATATTCCATGATTCCAACCGAGGGAGGGCAGTGTTTGCTTCCAGAAACAACGCGGCTGCAGAGGCAGGAGCTGCTTCGAAATTCAGTCTGTCCTGTGCTGTCTCCCTGATGGGCCTGTGCAGGGAGGCAGGGCACAGCCCCTTCCTCTGCCCCCCAGCCTGTGGTGGTGGCTGCTGCGGGTCACCTGGTAGGACCTACCTACCCCAGGGCCTTGTAGGACCTTTTTCCATGGTGCTTTATCTCAGTGCCTTGTCACAGGTCCCCTTGCCTTCAGGCCACCCCACGTCCCAGGACAGGGAGGGTGCTGCACAAATGCCACTTGTCACCTGTCTCCCAGGCCTGGAAAAGGAGGAGAGCACTGCCTGCTCGGGGCTGGGAGCTGGAGGGGCAACTGCCCACCCCCTTCAGACACTGGATTTGAAGGACAACCCCGGGGGGAAGGCTGGAGAGGAACTTTCTGCAAGGGCATGAAGTGGTAGGACAAGGGAGAGATGGTTTCAAGCTGCAAGAAGAGACAGTTAGATCAGAGAGGAGGAAAAAACTCTTGGCTGTGAGGGTGGTTGGTGTTACCCACCAAAATAGCTCAGAGTGGCCTTGGAGTGGCTAGGAACAGCTCAGAGACCAACTTGCTTCCCAGTCCAGACTGAGGATGGACCAGTTAGCAAACCAGTATCTTCTCCCCTAGCCCCAGTCTGCCCCAGTGTGGCCAGTCCCTGCATCCCTCAGGCTTTGCAACAGCCAGGGTGGTATTTCTCCCACCGTGGAAGGGCTGAGTGGCTTTTGGTCCCCATGTCTGTGACCAGTGCTGGGAGGGGATATGATGCCTCCTGCTGACAAGGGTGATCCTCAGGTGTTCACAGAGGGAAACCAGAGGATGCTTGTCCCTGCCTCTGCCAGGCTGCTGCTGCTGGATGCAGGTTCTGCTGAGCATCCCCAGCCCAGCTGGGCCCAGCAGAATCAGGCCCTGTTGTGCACACACAGGCACTGGGCAGAGCTGAGACCTCATGTGCTACCAGACCTGCAGTCCCAGCAGCTCCAGCCTTGCTGCATCACAAACTCCTGAGTAGAGAACTCCCAGGGAGAGGGGCTGTGCCTGTGGGGTGACACCATCTTCAGGTGGATGGTGCCATCCAACCCTTCCTCACCTCAACTCGAGGGTGCATCTGTGGTGTAACCATCATCCAGGTAGTAGCAGACACACCCTCAAGCCAGAGTGCCATGAAAAGG